CACTCATCTTGTCCTTAACAGGAGCACACAGTCCTTTGAAAGAATAGTTTTTATCTTATACAATCTTATCTGAGAGTCAAGATTTATTCCTGGCTTGTATTTCAGAAAAATGAGTATTAAATTATTTCTATTGTGTTCCAGAGTGATGGGGGTGACAAAGCTGCCCAGAGTTGTCACTGCCCAACACACTGTAGGCACTCAGATATTAATCAATAATGACATCTCCTATTTTTCCCCCTCCTATCTAGAGCTCAACATCATAGGAAGGTTAGCAAATCAATACACAAAACTGGATAGCCCCATCACTCCAAGTCCAGGAATACTGCTTTGTTTAGTAAGGGGGAGAAAAAGATACTCAAAGTTATATGCGTTCTCTATTTCTTCTGTCTATCCTTTTAAAGAAGAGCATTTTAGCCTGACATCTAAGACTTTATTCAGATTGTCATCTAACAACACCATTATTATGTCTCTTTGAAATCAAAATTGGGTAGAGGTACATAGGCGTGAGACATACAAAAGAAGAAGAAAACTTGTAGTGGCTCATTAACTCTATCAAGTTCCACACTATTGAGCTTAATGCTATGAAAGGATATGAAATAAATATGAAACACAGTCTCTGACTTGAAGGCTTACAGTCTGGTTACCTCGCTCTCCCTGGCCCAGTCCATTGCTAGTTATAAAGTACAACGCCAACAAGAACTACTAAAGAAAGACTCGGAGAGGATACCTTCTTTCCTTTAAAATTGGGAAAACAATTCAGATGTTAGGACTGCATTTTATGAAAATGGGCCCCAGCTGAAACTTTTGTTTTTGTTTTCTTTTTTTAAAACTACCATAGGGGAGCCAGATGAGTTTCCTGGGAAAATTATACCTTATAAATGTCCATTAGAAGGAGATGATTTATCAACTTATATATTTTGAGTATACAAGTATATTCTCTGTGTGACAAAGATCATAGAATCCCAGATTAAGATCTGGAATGGACACTAGAGGGGATTTAATCCAAACCCCTCATTTTGCAGATGAGGAAATGAAAGCCTGGAAAATTTAAGTGAATTGGCCAAGTAGGTGGCAAAACCAGGATTCAAACCCAGGCCCTTTGATTCCACATCCCAGCTTTGCTACTTGGTACCTGTTAACCTCATACAGATTGTTTAACCCTTGTAAGCCCCAAATTTTGTGTCTGTAAAGTGAAAGGGAGAGAATAGATGAGGATTGAATTAACTTTAAGGTCCCAAAAAACTACCATAAGTAATTTTTAAATCATTCATGAGAAGTTCCACATACAAATATAGTAGTTATATTAAAGCATGGGTATTATAACTACTAGCTGGAATAACTAAGCAAAATTGTGCAAGAGGTAAACTCTTTCTTTGTTTCTCTCTCATATCACACTTATGATTCCATTTGTCCTTACCATCATCATTCAACACTCTGACCAGCTCCTGCAATATTTTTTTTCCCCAAGTGTCCAGGAATTAATGAAAAGCTACCCTAGAATAGCAGTTACTAATGAGTCATTGAGAGTCAGCTAAGTGGCAGGATGGATACAGCACTGGGCCTGGAGTCAAATCCAAGTTAGATACTTACTAGTTGTGGGACCCTGGACAGGTTGCTTAATTCTGTTTGTTTTAGTTTCCTCATCTGCAAAATGAGCTGGAGAAGAAAATGGCAAAGCACTCCAGTATCTTTGCCAAGAAAACCCCAAATGGGGTCACAAAGAGTCAGACATGACTAAAATACCTAAAGAACATCAAGGAGTTATTGACACTTTGGTGTGAATTGTTAGTGAAATACATCTTCTAGAGTCCAATAAATACTAATCATTGGTTCCAACAGCAGAATTTCAGAGTAAAAAGCAGTAATGATTGATGGAAGGTTTCAAAGGACAGAGATTGTGAGGAATATTTGAGGGTATTAAGCATTTCACACTTATCAAGTAAGTGTGAAAGTGTTCTGATAAAGTAAAAGAGTATGGTATTACTTTCACAACTCAGGCCTTCATCACCTTTCACCTGCTCTATTATAATAGCTATCTGATTATTCTCCCTGCCTCCTTCCCTTTCTCTCCATTTCAACCCATCCTTCAGAAAGATGACTTTCCTAAATGAGTAGTTCTGACCATGTCACATACCTTCCTCCCCTGCCTACACACACACACACACACACACACACACACACACACACACACACACACATAATAAACCAGGGGCTCTCTAGGATCAAATACAAACTTCTATATTTGGTGTTTAAAGCCCTTCATAACTTAGCCCTGTGCTTCGTCTCTAATCTTCTTACTCATCATTCCCCTATAGGTACTGTGTGAACTGGCCACATTGGCTTACTTGCTGCTCCTTCAGTGTGACATTCCATCTCCCCTGTTCTCATCTCTACCTCCTGTAATCCCTGGTTCCTTTAAAATTCATCTTAAATATGCAACAGGAGGCCTCTTGTGATATCATTCCTCCTTTTCCTCTCCTCCACTGCTACTGACTTCCTCTCTAAGGTTACTTTCAAGGATATGCAGGTAAAAGTTTAACAACCAGCTTCCAGAGGAAAAAATGTATAGCAGGATATACTTTTAAGTTTAATCTGCATTATTAGCATTTTCTCTATCACTTCCTTAAGTCTAGATAAGAAATCCAGCAGTATCTCATATGTACCTATTTATATACTTGCTGTCTATGTTCATTAGAATGCTCCTTGAAGAAATAGATTTTGGGGGCAAGGAAAAAAGAGAAAGAAAGCAAGAAAGGAAGGAAGAAAGAAAATATAAGAAAAGCAGGAAGGAGGAAAGAAAGGAAGAAAGAAAAAAGAGAGAAGGTGAGAAAGACAAAAGGAAGAAAGAAGGAAAGGAAGGAAGGAAGGAAGGAAGGAAGGAAGGAAGGAAGGAAGGAAGGAAGGAAGGAAGGAAGGAAGGAAAAAGATAAGAAAAAAGAAAAGAAAGGCAAAAAGGAGGAAAGGAAAGAAGAAAAAGAGAGAAGAGAAGAAAGAAAAAAGAAAGGAAGGAAAAGGAAGGAAGGAAGGAAGGAAGGAAGGAAGGAGAAGGAAGGAAGGAAGGAAGGAAGGAAAAAGAGAAAAGGAGAGAAAGAAAAAAGGAAGAAAGGAGGAAGAATGAAAGAAAAAGAAAAGCAATGAGGTAATGCAATGGATAGCATGGTGGACTTGAAATTAAGAAACCCTGAGGTCAAATTCTATCTCAGATACTTACTGGCTATGTGATATTGGATTAGTCATTAAACCTCTCTTAGGTAACCTAAACTTCATTTTCATCATATGCAAAATAGTAACACCCACCTCATAGGGTTGTTCCAAAGATCAAATAAGATAACAAATATAAAGCACTTCAAAAACTTTTAAAACTCCATATAAATATTAACTATGATTACAGTGTATATATCTGACTTGCCATGGTATACAATTGTCAGTCAACAAGCATTCATCAGTCACCTATTATGTGCCAGGCACATAGCTAAGTTCTGAGAATACAAAGAAAGGTAAATAACAGTCCTAGCTCTCAAGGAGCTCAGTCTAATGCAGGGGACAACATGTGAACAATTATGTAGAAATACAACATATACAGGATAAATTAAAGATGATTAATAGATGGAAGACATTAGCATTAAAGGGAATTAGGAAAAGGTTCTTGTACAAAGTAGAACTTGCAGTGAACCTTGAAGGAAACTCAGGAAATTGAAGCAGAGATGAGGAGGGACATCGTTCCAGGCATGGGGGACAGAACTAATTTGGCTTCATAATCCTTGAGGCTTAAAACATATTGACATGATAAAAACTACAGGCAAACTCATGAACCATTCTGGTAGCAGGTTCTTTAGTCAGTGCAGGAGTTCTATCCATTGGGACAGAGGACAGTGGAAGACAAGGCAGGTGAGGATTGCAGCATATATGTCTTTCATATTTTGGCAGGAATCAAAGACGGGGAGGGAGCGGTGGGGAGGATGGAAATTGGGATAGGGGATATTGCAGTAAGGGACTATAATTTGAGACAAGTGATGTTTCATCACCTAGCTATGACTAATCTTTCTTATACACTGGCCTTTAAGGATCTTAGCTGCAAAAGGAAGCAAGACCCATAGTCTGGCACAATCTCCATTTGGGTGGGAGAACACAGCTCCTGAGTTAGGAAAAGGTGGAAGTTTTATCACAGAATCTCTGGACTCTCTGTAAAACCATGTGAAACAACAGGGTCCCACAGAACCCTGTTTGAGAAATGCTAGTATAAACCATTCATTCTGTTAATAGTATCCAGTATAAAACCATTACTGATTAATCAATAAAAACTCATGTGGGAGTTTCACTGAAATGTACTTTTATAACAACTCATTTGCTCACATTCATTAATTACCCTGTCTCTCCTGTTATGCTTCCAGGATTTACCTGAAATGAGTGATCAACCCATTGTTGATCAAAGAAGTATAAGATTTCAGGCAACCAAGGAGTTGGTATGCCACATTTCCTGCTCTTTGGATTGTCATCTTCCCTGTCCCAAACACCTAGCACATACAAGGTTCAGTGAGAACACTCAGCTCTCAGCTTTCCTGACTGGACTTTTGTCAGCTTTGCAATTAATGATATTCCATTATTAAAAATCAGCAATTAGCCCAAAAGGTTGCTGAGCTTGTGAGTGTGTTGAAGGAGGAAGAATCTAATGATAATTTGAGATGAGTAGGACACTAAATTTCTCTCTTGTTAATAATTAAAGTAGATAACTTATGTTTTTATTTATAGCCTCCAGAAATATCCGGCTCTTTTCTGTGCACTGCAATGTCAGCTAATCATCCGCTTGTCAGGATCTGACTTAGGCTATTGTATTTTATTATCAGCACACCCAGCTTCATTGGAAGCCATTAAATACAGCCCATTTGTACTAAAATTAAAATCTCCAAAGACTAGGCCTTCTGTGCTTTCATGACCCTCCTGTCTTGTCATCTGCTTTGAAAAAATACAATCATGAGGAATAAAAAAAAAATGCTATTTACCAGTTTCAATTTCCCAGATGTAAACAGAATCATCTGCACATCCAACAATTAAGAAATTTTCTACAGGATGCCATTTTATTGTTGTCACAGGGGAAAGGTGCTTCTGAGCCTTCAAAACACATGTCTTTTCCTCAAGATGTAGTAGTATAACCGAGTGGTCACTGCATACACAGCATACAACATGGTGATCTTTCAGCTAGAAAACAAATGACATTATTTCTGTAGCAGGTAATTTAGTTTGATATGTCTAATAAATTATGTAGGTTTTTGTTTGTTTTTGTTTACATTGGCTACATTGGCAAAAAGGTTAAATAAGCCCTTATGTGTAATGCAACTTTCACTGATGGATTTCCATGGTTCCTCTCAGTCAGTTCAAACTGCTATATCAAGAATATGGAGACACAAGATGATTTCTTAAACTCTACAAAGTACAGGAAAGGACAAACATCACAGTGGAAACTTCTTATTTGGAACCCATAGGAAACTAAAGTTAAAAATGACATATATACATTAAATCCAAAGTCAAAAGAAATAAGTTCTGAATAAAAATGAGCAACAACAAAAAATCCACTTACTCCCTTGCCCCAAAACAGCTCTGGTAGATTCAGTCTAGGTTATATTTGCATAACATAAATCACTATTTCTCATTTGTAGCCTCAAAACGTGATAATACTATTAACAGACCTATGTAGCATATACAGTACAAAATGTTCTAGATAGGCAGAAATCCTAAGTTCTAGTATGGGCTCTGGCACAAGCAACATATATGGTCTTAGGTGTATCTTCTGTATGCCTGACTTTCCTTAACAATGAAATAGAAATATTACTACTTGGTCCTACCGATCTGAGAGAAAAGCTGTGTAGAAAGCTCTTTGTAAATTATAAGGTGTACATAAATGTGAGAAATTATCAATATCATCATTATCCAATGAATTTGACCATAGTCTAAAAAGGCAATAGGGATATCCAATGCAATAGTCAGTTCCTGAAATAAGAACAACTTTAAAGGGAAGCATCACTTCATAAAATACTGTTTACTCTTATCTGTATAACTTGAATATAATTTATATCTAAGAACATTATGGAAATACAGCTGAAATTTAGCAAAGAATAGTTTGATGCTTTGTATTTTGGGCACAGGGGTGTAACACTGAAGCTCTTTCACCTAATTTTAAATATTTTCCCCAGTGGAGGCAATCAGGGTTAAATGACTTTCCCAGGGTCACACAGCTAGTAAGGGTCTGAGGCTAGATTTGAACTCAGGTCCTCCTGACTCCAGGGCTGGTGTTGTTTCCAATGAGCCACCTAGCTGCCCCTATTCAATATATTTTAACTATTTTTATTTATAAAGGGAGAATTTTTCCCCCACCATAACTGATGTAGTTACAGAAAACAGATTCCATAACACAGGTAATGAGATATTATATTGACAAGGTGATCCTTACAAGACAGCTTTCTGCATAAATCAGAAGAGGCAAAATTATAGGCTGGGTTAGGCCACGCTCTTAGGTATTTTAAATAGCCAAATTCTAGAGAAAGTTCATAGATTTCCACTCTGGAAGCTGATAAACTTGATCATGGTACCAAGCAGTGGAGGAACTCATCCAGAAAGAGAAACCATCCTATCCAGCATTTGGAGAATCAGTTTAAGAAACTTTAGGGCACAGTTGAAGGAGAAGGGACATAAGGTTGTAGAAGTAGTTTCCAAGAAAAGGACTTCTGACAGCAGGAGAGAGAGAGAGAGAGAGAGAGAGAGAGAGAGAGAGAGAGAGAGAGAGAGAGAGAGAGAGAGAGAAAGTACTAACTATAGACTCAAGGGAGGAGCACCCCTGACGTTTGAAAAATAGAGCTGTGGAAATCTTGGGAGGCCAGCTGAGTGACCCACCAGCAGAGACCACGTACCTAGAAGGGAGATCAGAAAAGACTTCACTAGGGGAGCAAAGGATACCCTTTAGTTCTGGAGTTGCAAGTTGCTTGGCTATGTGTGGTACCTTACTCTCATTCTACATTAGTTGGTGACCACCCTTTCTAAAGACACTATGTGTCTTTACTCACTATGTGAGTCTGTCCCATGTTTAGGAGGAGCAGGGCTCAGAAGGCCTGTAAAAATATTACTCTTACTATGGCATCTTACTAAATGCTTTGGCTAACAGCTATTATGTGTAGTGGCAGAATGGTGATGGGAAGTACACTGGTGGAGGCCCATGAGGTGCAGCTCCAAAGGATTACCTTTTGAACTCCAGGTAGCAGCAACCTCTGAGGATCCAACCTGCAATGAGTATCCAATTGCAGGTAGCACAGAGGAAGTACTATGCTAGAATTACAATGGCAATGTATACAACTATTATTTTTTACTGAAGATGCAAACTATTTCCAGTACTTCTTTCATATCTTCATTCTTTCTCTGATATCACTGATTATGATTATCTCATTGTCACTCAATACTCTGCATAAAATCTTTAAATGTATACAAATGTAAGCTAATATGATTATTGTCATTTACAATGTTTATTATCAGAGATAATCAGCAAATTGGCCAATTGCTAATAGTACCAGTGGTAAAGATTTGCTAGGTAAAGCGCTAGAAACTCTTAGTTAAATAAGGTCCCTGGATTTCATTTCTTCATGCTAATGATGGTTCCTCTGTTTTTGTGGATAAGTGACAATTGGTTCTTCATACTTCCATTTTACCACCAAAACTATCTGTAAAGTCTGAATTTCTGTATCATAGAAAAGTTGTGACTAACTTCAGACCCAAGCCCATAAAAATTAAATATTAAGTCCTCTTCCTAAAGCAAATAGGGAAAAAAAGAATAATGGAGATTTCTTTATTAAATTAAATTTAAAAAGCCCTCTTAAGTTATAAGTATAAACCAGATTAAAAAGAAAAGTGTTAAGCAATTCAAATAATAATGATAATTGAGTGATTATTTCTCCCCTTTACTTACTGTGAAGATTTCTGGTGACATCAAAAGGCTTGTTACTGGACCTGCCCACAAAAGGAATTTATGCAAGACTTCTTCAGTTAAGATGTCCCACCAGATTACACAAGAATCTTGATCCCCTGAAACCATCCAGCTTGGATCTAATTTGGAAGAGTGGCCATGAGGATAAAGTAATGAAGTAACACTTTTGTTGTGGCCTCTAAGAACTTTGTGAGGTAGGGAATCTGAAAGCAGAAAGAAGGAGGCAAAATGTTTTTGCTGGCTCAAGGATGAGGTCTGAATTTTTTTGGGATGGTTTATTTTTGGTTTATGGTTTTATAAAAAAGACTATCACGCTCAAATTGATAACCAACTCTTTGAGTTTCTCCCCATCCTACTTCCTCTTCAAAAAACTCAGATTCTGCTTTTTTTAAGGTTCCATTTAGACATGAGCAAGTTACCACTTCAAAAACAAGGAACAAACCTCTCAAGGGCCTGGGCTATTGAGGGACAGAATGTCCCTAAGATTCCATCATGATGGTTTGTTACTAGAAGGTACAGGAGGAAGCATCTTTTATACCTTTTGTTCTTCTTTTCAACTTCAAAATAATATAAACTATTGCTACTATGGGCAGCTAGGTAGTGCAGTGGATAAAGCACCAGATCTGGAGTCAGGAAGACTCATCTTCCTGAGTTCAAATATGGCCTCAGACAGTTATTAGCTGGGTGACCCTGGGCAGGTCACTTAACCCTGTTTGCCTCCATTCCTCATCTGTAAAATGAGGTAGAGAATGAAATGGCAAACTACTCTAGTATCTTTGACAAAAAAAAGCCCAAATGGGATCATGCAGAGTTGGATGTGACTAAAATGACCGAACAACAACAAACATTACTATTATGGGTGGGGGGGGCGAGGGAGGTCTTTACCAGAGTATAATAGTAATATAGAAGTAAAATATATTGCAGTTCTCAAAAACATAAATTGGTGTTGAACTGGTTAAATAAATCAGGAACTGCATAAGAATGAATGGAGGGTCAAAGAAAAGCCTATGTGGGAGCTGAAATTCTATTATCTCTCAATGGGTTAGCCTTTTGCTTCCCCTGGCTAAACATTTTATAGCTTTATACCTGGCCCCAGGACAAAGGTCAGGATAAAACTATTAGATCCACCTCATAAAAACAGGGGATTAATAAGATAGGAAATTATGATCACAATAATAACAAAATTAAAACAGCCTATAATATTAGTATATTTCAGAGGCAGTATTCTTTGCCATATCTTAGTGGGTCAGTCAATGAACAACCACTATGTATACAAGTAACTCTAAAGAGATATCAGCTCTCACAAAGGCAATGATGATATATATCTATGCAGATGATTCCCAGGTCTACCTATTCAGGCCTTGTGTCTCTCCTGAGCTCCAGTCCCAAATTCCCTCTGGACATCTGTAACAGGATGTCCATTTTTGTTGCTGTTCAGTCGTGTTTTAGTCATGTTCTATTTGGGATTTTCTTGGCAGAGATCCTGGACTGGTTTGTCATTTCCTTCTATAGCTCATTTTACAGATGAGGAAACTGAGGCAAACAGAGTTAAGTGATTTGCCCCAGGGTCACACAGCTAGTCAGTGTCTGAGGCCAGATTTGAACTCAGGAAAACGAGTTTTCAAACTCAACATACCCAAAACCTATCACTCTTCCTAATTTCCTTATTTCTTCTGAGGAAATCATGATTTTTCTAATAATCTAGGTTTATGACCTTAGTCCTCCTTACCTCTTCACTTGTCTTCACCCTAGCATATCCAATCAGTCGCCAAGTCTCATCAAATCTAACTACATCTTAGCATCAATTCACTTCTTTCCACTCAACTTGATCACCACACTCATTGAGGTCCACCTCCCCTCTCACCTCAAGTACTGCAACAGCCTAATTGTTCTCACTACTCTCTGGTTGCTCCTCTCTTTGATTCATCCTCCAATCAGCCGCAGCTGCCAACTTGATATGCTTAAATGACAGCTTTGACTATGTCATTGCCCCGACCAGGAAGCTTTACTGGGTCTCCATTGTATCTTGGATTAAATAAAGCTCCCCACCCCCTTTTTTGCCATTTAAATCCTTCATAATCTAGCTTCAATCTGTCTTTCCATACTGATTTAAAATTACTCCCCTTCATTAATTCAACATTCTGGTCAAGCTGGTCAATATGTAGCTTCCAGACACAGAATACTCAACCTCGACTCTCCATATCTTCACAAAGGCTATGGACCAACCCTGAAATAACCACCTTCCTCAGCTCTACTTATAAACTTGAGCTTAAAAGCCATCTCCTTTCCGGATCACTCCAGTTGTTATTGTCCACTCTCCCTAAAACTTACTTTGAATTTTGTTGTTCAGTCATGTCTAACTCTTTGTGACCCCATTTTGGATTTTCTTGGCAAAGATACTGGAGTGGTTCGCCATTTCCTTCTCCAGTTCATCTTACAGATGAGGAAATGGAGGCAAACAGGGTTAAGTGATATGCCCAGGGTCACACAGCAAGTAAGTGTCTGAGGCCAGATCTGAACTCAGGAAGATGAGTCTTCCTGACTCCCGGCCTGGTACTCTATCCACTGCACCACTATCTGTCCTAGTTTTTGAATTTATTCTGTATATATTTGGCATTTATTTATTTGTACATATTTAATATCCCACCTAATCACCCTCTCTAACCCCAGGAGAATATAAGTCCCTTGACGAAAACAAGTGTTTTATTTTTTCCTTTGTATTCCCAGAGTCAAGAACAAAACAAGCACCTGTCCAAACTATCCCTCTAAGTTTGTGAGGACCCAGGACCCAATTTTTAACATATCTCTAGAGCTCAACGTGCCTCCTATCATCAAGCTCAACTTGTTACTCAGGATGTATTAATTTTTAATTATTTTTAAAATTTTAATTAAATTTTAATTAATTTTTAATATGTAACTTATTACAACATAAAAAGCTGTCTAAAACTATATGAAACTTTGAACAGATACTAATATGGCCACCTTCCTGCTACACCACTCAAAAACTAATCTGTCTTATTTAGTTCAACCCAAGTGCTTCTTGCTAGCATGAAACATTACCTCTGATTTGACTTCACAGTATTTAATGAATTCAACTAATTACCTTTTTTAAATAAGGCATTATCTTCCAAAAGTCCTGCTTTTGCTGCATTTAAGGCAAGTGTTATGAAGATCCTCCCATCTTCACATCCACATATTAGCTTGTCAAAATTTGGAATGTACATAGACGAAGTGACCGCTGGGCTTCCAGCTCCATCTTCAAGAGCACAGAAACCATCAATAATGCTGGGTGACATAGTGTGATGCTTGTCAAAATTATCTTGAAGGGTATAAGTGGTAGTTATTGGTATCTCTAGAAAGGGTAGAGAGGGAGGAAAAATAAAAAAATGTGTATGATAATTCATCACAGTCACCAAAAGAATTGAGTCAATATGTCATTCCTAGCTACTCAACAGTGGCACACAAACTAGCTAATTATAATTTGTTTTTATAATCCAAGGTCTTCAACTCCCAGATCCAGGGTCCTAAAACCCTGAAGGGCATGATGAGGGTATATAGAAGGTAAGGGACCCAACCTAGACTGGAGCAACTAAAGATACCTGAGAAAGTCTTGGGATGATAGAATTGGTTCTGAGGAATGTCATATGGTGCTTTCAGCTTGACTTAGCCAAAGATGAGAGGAGAAAATAGAGTTGTAGTATATGGTGGTAGAAAGAACACTAGCTATAGAGTAAAAAGTCCTAGGTTTAAATGCCAGTGGCAATTTCTTTGTCAAATGAAAAGGTTAGATTAGATGATCTCTAAGGAAGGCTTCCTTTCACTCTAAAGCTTTTGAGCCTCTGATATCAGGTCACTGCATGGAAAGTTTCAGTTTGAAAAATGACAAAAATATTTGAATATTTCAAAATGACATCATGCCCGTACTGCATTTCTGAGGTTTGGTAGCTATCACAGACACTCTATATGATGTGTATCACTAAGGTCAGGTTCAACAGCATACTGGCCTTTCACCATCTTGCACCCTGAATTCTGAGAATGTTTCTGAGTTCTGAGCAGCTACTGAACACTTTTGGGGATTTAAAGAAGTCTTGCAGTAGACCCAGAGAAACTTAAGGACCTCATAATCATACATCATAAATTTAAAGCTTGGAAGGGGGACTCAAGCTGTCATCTAATCAAACCTCCCTCATTATACATTTAAGGAAACTAAGACCCAGAAATGAAGTGCCTTGCTTAAATGTATATAGGTAATAAGCAGCAGAACCTACATTTGAACCAAAATCAGGGCTCTTTCCCCTATGTCATAGTTACCTCTTCAAGTACTTTAAAACAAGTAGAACTCTAAGATCACATAGGGTTACAGATATGGAGCTAGAGCGACCTCAGAGCTCATGAAGTCTAACCACTTTATTTTACAAATAAGGAATTTGAGGCTCAGAGATGTAAAGCGACTTGCCCAGGGTTACACAGCTGAGGTGGGATTTGAACACAGGTCTTCTTGACTCCAAGCTCAGTGCTATCCCTACTAGTCTATTATACCATACAAAGCTAAGCTTGGATAAGCTAAAATCACTGTCTTCTACACCATACTATTACTCAGTCTTCTCTCACTTGCTGAGTCAAGCAAAATGATCTAGAAGTTTTCCCTAGTTGCAGAAACAGACATCGCACACATGTGGCAAATGGAATAAGTTTTCTTACCTTTAGGGGAACCATCAAACTTTGATACTGGAACATCAGGGATATGCCACAAAGTGATTCTTCCAGACATTTCTCCTGAGAAGAGGACTTTATAGAAAGGTTCCTTCCGTTCATTGAGATAACCCATAACAAATGGATAGCTCTGTATCACAAATAATTCAAAATTTTACTCACAGGGGAAAAGGCAAAGACTAGGAACTGATGATAGCCATGGTTGTGATGAATGGGGAATAAAAGAGAAAGGAAAAGGTTAACATACAAATTGACTTTCTTGCATAAATGCCTTCCTCTCTAGAATCTTAATCTGTAACCAAAACAAGGGTGTGACCAGCTTTATAGGAAACTCTGGGTACCATGCAAAAAGATTCAGCCACTAGCTAGTTTTTAATGTTCTCAAAAGGAGAGAAAATATCCTAAATACAATAGATCAAATATCCTAAATATAAGGTCTGTCTAGTGAGAACTCAGAGACTTAGGTTGAATGACCTCAATAGCACCTTCCAGATCAGATATTCTATGACCTTCCATAAAAGATGGCCTTTTCTGACCCTGAGTTGAAAGAGATACAGAAGATGAACTAAATCAGTTCATAATCTTTCCTTGATGATTCACAAGGCACTTCAGGATCTTGTAATGCTCTCAACTGTTATCATTTGGAACAAATATGCTAGCTAAGTCCTGATCATCAGATTTCCTGGTTCATTCAATATTCTCACTTGTGTTTATATTACACCTCATCTAGCCCTTCTACTACAGACTAACTAATAAGCCAGGCTGGACTCAACTGATTCACTTCACATATTGTGAATCTAGAGACAGACAGTGCTTTAGTAGGGCCAAGACTAAAACCAAGTGCTCCCAATCCCTAGATCCATTGTTTTCCACCTAAACAAATCACTTTCATTAAGTCCTGCTTAAGTAGAAATAATAAGTATTTTTTAATTTATGAAATTTTAAATTGATTATAAAGATAGATTATTTTGTTAAATAAAGGGTAAAGATCTGAAAATGGGTTAACACAATGCCTTTCAAACTCAGATTTGCACTCTGTGTAAATCCATCCTATTTCTAAGAAGTGCCTGTAAAATATAAATGTCTAAGGAAAGAGACTGTGATTTTGAGAAAATGTAGGTAGAATGGATACAAATCAGGGAAGGCAGACAAAATTCTGCAATCTATGTATCTATCACTGAATTAGTCATTAAGCAGTTATTGAGTATCTACTATGTGCCAGACATATGTTAGGTGCTGAAACCGTGAAAACTATTATTGAGGATGTTTTAGCAGTTTACCAAACTGATGAGAACTCTGTTTCATTTGACAACATGAAGCACACTGTCAAGTGAATTACTTAGGACAAACAATAATTTTGATATGGTTTCATTTTGTGATAGTAATGGTCATGTGATTTGGGGTTCTTCTGACCTAGACCAGATAAAATTGTATTGATGTGGTTTACCAAACCCGAGTTAGTTTTCTATCAACTGACTGCTGCCATATACATGTTTCTTTGTCTTTTTTGGTGCTTTTTTTTAGTTCTATGGTTTTAATGAATTGACATTGCTCCATGGAAACATGGAAAAGCTATGTCTTATTCTTTTTTTTTGGCTAGGCAATGGGGTTAAGTGACTTGCCTATGGTCACACACCTAGTCAGTGTTATGTGTCTGAGGCTGGATTTGAACCCAGGTCTTCCTGAATCCAGGGCTGGTGTTCTATCCACTGCACCACCTAGCTGCCCTGGAAAGCTAAAAGTCTTAAAGAGCATACTTGTGTGAGTGTTAGAGATATTGTAGCAGCTATTGATGTGGGTAAGTCAAGCACTTCAAGGATTAGTTAGGCCAACAATGAAGCAGGAACAGTTACAACAAAAAGGAACTATGCTTGAAAACAAACTAACAAAAAAAGCAACAATAAGAAGGGACAAACTATTGTTGCAGAACAGCCCAAGTAATCATTAGAAAGTAAGCAAAGATCTTCAGAGGAACCTGGCAGCTGAAGGGGTTGTTATTGATGCCTCTATAGTAAGATAGAAGCTTTTTAAAGTTAAAAAAATGAGTGGAATTTCTTTGTAAACATTGCTAACTGTTGCTATGAAGAATGGGAAAAAAAGAGGACGACAGAACAAAGACTATAATACTAAAGATTGAAAAGACATAGAAAAGGAGGTGAAGTTGACCGTATTTCAAAGGCTAAGCCAAAAATTTCGGCATAAGAAGTCCAGGTAAGTCTCTAAGATCTGGACTTTTTCATGGGATTGTAAAACATATACCCCAAAAAATGTTTTGGGAATTTTTTTGCATATGGGAGTCTTATCCCCAATGAAGGAATGATGAATTCTGATAAATACAGTAATGTATTGAGAAGTAAAAACATTCCAGAGTTACAGGAATTCCCAAATAGAGATAGAAATACTATAACACAACTTTATACAATTCCACACATGACAAAAGGTTAAGAAATTTTAAAAATGGAAATAAAAATGCTTTAATAGACTGGTAGTTTGCCTGATGCAAACTTCTTTGTCAGAGGTAAAAAAAAAATCATGGCACATAATATGATTTTTTTAAAACATGCTGACTAATTTGATGATTTCCCCACCCACCCACTTTTATTCTAAATTTTTCTTATAAGAAATGGTACTCCTGGAGGGATAGGTACAGATGGAATTGTAGGCAATATAAAAACAAATAATACATTTTTTTTCAGAAAAGCAAAGTTGTGGGCCACATATACTCAAGACTAGACTTGAAAAATTACTGATGTCAAAAGTATACTTAATGTAAAATGCAATGGAAGTGCAGTTTCATGATGAAGAATTAAAGACTATCAAAATCATGAACTCAATCTAAAGTTATATAAAGCAAATAACTATAGCAAAAGCCCATAGTGCATGTTAAAAGTTTTTTTAAGATAGAAAAAGTAGTAAGATTTATTGTATGTCAATAAATTTAATTATTTTACTGTGTCTCAGTTAATTTATGTACAACAGCAATTTTGCATAGAAGAAATGCCCTTTTCAATGTTTTTCTTTTGCTCTCTGAAGATCTACTGCATTTTCATTCATTTCAGTGCTGTTGGCCTCTTTCTTCCAAATACTAGGAAAGGAACTACATATACTTAATTGATATTATACAGCAGAGAGTTCAGTACAATAAAAGAACAAATGTTTCTTAAATCATAGAATCACAGATCTGGAGCTATTGGAAAACTTAAAAATTATGCAGTCTAATACTCTCATTTTACAAATGAATAAATTGAGAGCACAAAAGATAAAATGAACTTTCTTTTGGTCAAATAGATAGTTTAAGAGCAGATTTCAGATTTGAAACCAGGTCCTTTTTTTGCCAATTGCTGTTGTTGTTTGGTTGTTTTTCAGTTGTGTCTGACCCTTCATGACCCCATCTGGGATTTTCTCCACAAAGACACTGGAGTGGTTTGCCATTTCCTTTTCCATATTATTTTACAGATAAGGAAACTAAAGCAAACAGGATTAAGTGACTTGCCCAGTCACACAGCTAGTAAGTGTCTGAGGCCAGATTTGATCTCAGGAAGATGAGTCTTCCTGACTCCAGGCCCACCATTCTATCTACTGTACTGCCCAGCTGCCCCCTTTATATGCAAAATTCAGTGTTAATTTCACTATACTACTATGTTTTTCTTCTCCTGAGTCTGGTTTTTTTTTAAGTAAGATAGAACTTTTAGCAAAATGAGAATGGGATGGCAGGGAATGTGTCAGGAGATAACAGTTAAATTCATGACTTAATTATCCTCTTGATACCTCTGACCTCCACAAAGTCCTACTGCAAAGCCTGATAGTAGGAAGGTGACGTTATTTAGGTTACCAAAAGGTGTGTAAAAAAAGAATGACAAAAAGTTCTGATTATAAACTGGAAACAAACTTGCCTGCTCCATGAGGCCAAGCCAAGCTAAGCATGGATATGCTTATCACCAGTCACCTATGTCTTTGGTGATGAACTCTTTGGCCATGGCAATGAAACAAAGGGCAATACAAAATGAATGGCCCTCAGCTCTATGTAGCCACTTCTATGAAGCAACTTCTAGTTTTCAAGTGACAGTAGCAGAAAGGCCAAAAGAAAAAAAAGAGAATACAACTCTAAGAGTCACCATTTTTATCAAAACAGTCTATAAACATTAACTGTAGGTACTTCATATGTGATATCCTTGTGCAATGACCAAAGAGAAGATATACTACCAGAGGAACTTAATTACATCAAACTTGAAAACATTCTCAATATAAACAAATATAAATAAACATTATCAATAGAAATAAAATAAATATTTTCAATACAAACAAAACCAAAAGATAAAATTTGCAATAAATGAAAGGATAACTCACAGTTTCTTGTTGTACATGTAAATAATGGAATTAGCAGAGTTGATTGTATCATGTATCCAAAAGCAATATGAAATATAATTTCATAGGACATTTGGTTATCTGGTATTGTAGTAGTATGGCTAAGAATTTGCAAAATGATCAACAGAAAAATAATTGCAGCAAAATTTCAGTTTCAGAGGCTTTCACATGTAGGAGTATATTAAGATGGCCCCAAATTATACTCCAATGTTTTGTGCAATGTAGATACAATCTGTACATATTATTCCCTCCTCCACTTTACCAACTGATCTCCCTGGCTTCCTTTAAGTCACAAATAAAATCTCATCTTTTACTGGAAGTTTTCCCCAACCACTTTTAATTCTAATGCCTTCCCTCTGTTAATTATTACCTATTTATTCTATATATAGTTTGCTTTGTACATATTTGTTTGAATGTTGTCTCCCCCATTAGATTGTAAGCTTCTTGGGGGCAGGGACTGTCTTTTGCTTCTTTTTGTATTCCCCATGCTTAGCACAGTGCTGGGAACATAATAAGTATTTAATATTGATTGGCTGATTGAGTGTCATAACATGCAAAATAAAACATAAACTGCAAATGGACAATAAATGGATCCCAGAATTGAAAAGAACAGTGTGGGATAGATTTCCTTTGGAAAACACCAATACTTTTTATAAACCTCAAGCTTCTCCCTGAAACAAGGCTCATCTTTTTAGCACAGATATTCTTTCAGCAGAAATCCCAATGTGGCTGGGATTCATGGAATACGACAGTTTCAGAAAAACTAAAGTGGCATTTGAACCAAAGGATAATGATGAGGTGATTTGTAGGTATAAGTGGGCTACAATATACTAAGAATGGGGCAGCTAGGTGGAGCAATAGATAGAGGGCCAGTCCCGTCCTGGAGTCAGAAGGACCCGAGTTCAAATACTGCCTCAGACAATTTGACACTTACTAGCTGTGTGACTCTGGGCAAGACACTTAACCCTGATTTCCTCACCCCCCAACAAATGATATAGCTCTATATACCTATATGTATATCTATATATGTATATATAGCTATCTATATGTGCGTATCTATATATATATCTATATGTATATCCATATGTGTATATATAGCTATCTATGTGTGTATCTATATTCTCTCTCTCTCTCTCCATATATATGTGTGTGTGTGTGTGTGTGTGTGTATATGTATGTGTGTGTGTGTGTGTGTGTGTGTGTGTGAAGAAAGAGAGAAAAAATGAAGAACTGCACAGGAAAGAACCCTAAAGGACTTCATAACAGATACATGACCAGAAAAGATAATGGACTGGATATGAAATGAGAATAAGGAACAACAGATGGACAGATCATGTATTCCTTTGCTATTTATTCAATGGGATGAGAAGTAGAAAAAGTCACCCACCATGTTAGATGAGTGCTCTGATTAGGATTCATATGAAGATATGATCAATAGTTACACAAGAAGGGCACGAATGAATGAGTGTGGCCAAGACTCAGGGTCATTGGTGATCTGGAGCCATATCAATGATCTCTGAAGCCATCTAAGAACTGAACTAAATAGCTGTCATAATGAAGAATTTTTAGTTTAAAAATCAGCCACATGGAGTGGCTGGGGAGGTTGGTATCCCCAAGATGGTAAATTGGTATGTAAGGGGAGGGGGTTTGCTGCTGCCTTTTGACCTTTATTTTCTGGACATTTTTATTTTAAAAGAAGAGAATATCAAATAATGAACATAATGATAAAATTCCAAACTCCCAGTGCATTTTAACTGCACAGCACTGAAACCATTCTTTTTATACTGAACATTTTAGTTACAAAGAGGAAGATAAATATTAAAAGCAGCAATTAAATAATGCCTTGGGCAAATTATAGACTGAAAATACTATTTTTTTCCAGATAGAATACAAAACAGCATTGTTTTGGCAATTGTCAAGTAATTTAAAAATCATCGCCAATGGCATACCTGAATTGAAACATTCCTTCATTTTCTAATTTTTAGCTGTCATCACCTATTTGGAAAGTATCTGTAAGACTTCACAAATAAGTCTGAAAGGAAGCAATTGTCTGACTTCTCAGCATCTATAGTTGACTAATTAAACATGCCATCAACCAAAAAATAGCAACACGTACTCTTGGTTGTCGTATCAATCATTCACAAACATTTTGTTTTTCTTGCAATAAGTATTCTAGTATTTAACTGATGACCAAGTTCAATATTTTTAGAAAGTGAGGATGGTTATAATAATTTTATCTAGTACATAAAAGACTGCCCTCCAAGTATATGGGAACAAAGTTAGAAATGTCACTCTCTAAAAGTCAGTAAGAGTCAATGTAGCTAAGCAGAGGGGTAGGGGAGTGGAAAGAATGAGCACATAATGAATAAAGTTAGTCATTTACAGAAGCTGAACGAGATAATTTTTTTAAAGGCTTCCTGAATCTCAACAAGGAGCTTAAGGTGACTCCACAGAAAGAAGTAAACAGATGTAAAATGTAACTAAAGTTAAATTTTAATTTGGGAAATATGTCTAGCATGGGGAGGTAATATATTTATGATAATTATATGATAATATATTTGATAGCTAATGAACAGTAGGGAAAAAAGAGAATTAAAGAGTGAAGAGTTGAATGTTTATCCAGCATCAGACAGGAGGGTATCCTGACTTTACCAGGTTAGACAAGTATCTGGTCTACTTGGCAGATCTACAGAATAGAAATGAGTGTATCTGGTTATCATGGCTTGATACTTACCAGTGAATCTTTCAATTTCAATTTGGTTGTTTAAGTAGACCATCCTATTGGGAAGAAAATGTGCTAAATAGCAATATAAACATCTAGTCTTTCATCAGATTTATTTGTCACTGTCATCTAATAAATTGGCATTCACGCTTACTAGGATTTCTTCTATATTTGGTAGCATGCATCAGTTGCTGTCAGAGCTTGATTACTTCTGCGTGGACTAATAAAATTAAGCTTCCTAACCTTAAAAACTGAGGACCAAACTGTGTACCTAAGGGGATATCATTCAATATTATCACCTTGAGAAGCACCAGACTCTCCAATGACATCTTTTATCAACATCAGTGAAATATTTTGTATTTTTTATTAGTTTTTAGAATGTAAGTTCCTTTAGGGCAAGAGACTGTCATTTACTTTTGTACATCCTTCAGCAAATCAGATAATGCTTTTTATTTAGTACATGAATTGTTGGTGTAATTGTTTTGGAGCAGGTAGGTAGCTCAGTGGATAGGGCACCAGGTCTGGAGTCAGGAAGACCTGACTTCAAATGTGTGTGACCCTGGACAAGTAATTTAACACATTTGCCTCAGTTTCCTCATCTATGAAATAGGGATAACAATAGCATCTACTTCCCAGGACTGTGGTAAGGACCAGATGAGACAATAATTGTAAAACACAGTGCCTAGCACATAGAATACACTATATAAATGTTAGTTATCCTTGTTGTTATTGCTAATACAATGCTAGACTTGTATCAGGAATATTGTTCAGATCCCTTTTCTGACATTAGTTTATTATTGCAGATGAACCTCAGTTTTGTCACGTGTAAAATGGGTATAATCCTATCTATCTATTGACTACTTCAGGATGTAGTAATGATAATATGTGGAAAGTGCTTTGAAATTTTTAAAGTGTTACATAAAGGTAAGTAGCTATTGTTATCATTCTTGTTACTAATGATAATAAAAGTAAAATTTTACCTGGTTTACTGTTGGCATTCAGGAGAATCATATTGATTTTAAAAATATGTTTAATGAAATATAATTTTTATGGCAACTTTGTAAAAAATGTAAACCATTTCAAAATAGTAGTACCAGAGTAAGGTTTGTATTATTTGATGGTTTGAACCAACTCTTTCATAACAATTTATTTTGAAACAAAGAAAGCCAGCTACTTATCTAAAATACTGAATGAAATAACTTTAAGGAATCATTTCTCTTTTTTATCCATTACCTTATTTTCTTTTACAAAAGTAGAGCAAAGTAAATGAGGATACATGGTTTCTTTAAGTACTCTTCCATCAGCAGGATATAAACTTTTTGAAAGTCCACTGGGTGAAAAAAAAAAGGGGAAAAAAGTTTTTTTAAAAGTTTGGGTCTGTTTACTTGTAGCATATTTGTATCACTCTTCTCAATATTTTTTAAGTCCAGGCTTTACCACTGAAGTTTCTAAACTCTGTTAGAAACTGTTAGGTTAATAATTACAAGTGACTTCTTTTTGAAAACCCAGCACCAGCTGTACAAGTTCTACATGACTAATCTCATTCCTCCATCCCCTGCTGTTTCATACAAAGGCTGGAGTCTACCAAGCTTAGGGTAAATCTTTGGGTGCCAAAGTGGTTTTGTTCTGGTTTTTGATCATGGGCAACATGCAGGGACTTTCCTATAATAAACCTCCCAAAGTTCATTTTCTACCTGAACATTATGTGTGCTGTCCCCATCTGAGCCCACCTGTTCAGCAGCTGATAGATATAACTGTGACCATCTTCTGTCCAGATGATGACTCGGTGAGCAGCGAGCACCTCTCCACCAGCAAAAAACTCCCTGCTTTTACTGACTTCAGTGAGCAGGGGGGAAAAATCACAGTAATCATAAACCTAAAAAAGAAAATCCTTGTTTTCCATCAACAGTTAACAATGTGCACTCAATTCTATCAATGAAGTTACAGTTTAAGTCAACCTATGGGCAAGTCGCAAGTGTACATTATATTTTATCTTTATATACATACCAAGAACAACTTAATACAAATGCAGAACATAGGCATTCAGCTATTGTCTTTCATTGATAATTATTATTTAATAAGTTTGATTGAACTATAATCTTATTTCAGGGTGGCCTTCTATAAAGCCAAATAATTTGTAATAGATTTAGTTATATAATATATTGAAATGAAAAGGGCATTTTCAAAGGGTGACATTTTCACTTTTCTGTCAGTGATCTTGCATTCAGTACCTTCATAAGAAAAAAGGATGTTGAACAGTGAAAAGTAGAAGCCCTTAAAAAGATAAATTATTTCAAGAGAAGAGCATGACAATATTACTTTAAATTCTCAAGCAGAGGCATCAATTTAAAAAAAAATCTTCTGTCTAAACATAGTAGCTCTCTACTATAACATGAATGATTATCCACAGACCAAGGCATACTATGGATCAAACATCATCCCACAAAGTATAGGAACTAGATGTAGTAAAAAACCTGATGCAAAGTGGAAAGTGGGTGTTTGTCCAGGGCCCCAGATAAATATTTCAAAGGATTTGTGCAATATTTAAATTATAGTCTACTTTTCAATGTAACTATCATGAGAATAAAGACATACACTGTGTTCACACGCTACCTGCCAACATTTGGAAAATACCACCAACAGAAGTCTTTCCGTGTAGGGACAAAATCTTATCGTCCGGCAGTTCGGTGAGTCCAGAGATTTAGATTCTTTTTCATAAATATCTTTCTTTTCCTTTATAAGAAGCGGACACATATTAGTACTAGTTCCTAATGCTTTAGGTTAATGCATATAATCAAATGTTTCCAACATATTTGTACCAGATCACTTTTTTATGACTTCAAAAGTATCTCACAATCCTATTTTAACTTGTAAGGCCTCTGAGGTAAAAAGTCACTTGAAAAAGAAATTAAGAGTATCGTAGCCACATGTTTCAGAGTGCCTTACATATAGTAGTCATTCAGTAAATATTTGAGTATAAAAATCCTTTAAAACTGTACAGAACTTGCTTGAAACATATTTTTACACTTCAGTAGGCATTACTCTCACTTTGCACTGTCATTCAGTCTTTCTCTTCATCACACACAGAATCCTACATCTCATCTCCGTGTCTTTGCACTGGCCATCCCACATTCCTAATGAGTACCTTCCTTAACCTTTTGTCATTGAATCGTTCCTATCTTCCTTTAAGACACAGTTCAAGCACTATCTTCTACATGAAACTTTTCCTGATCTCCCAAATTGCTAGTGCCTTTCCTCCCAAACTAACTTATATTTAACTACTTTGCATATATCAGTATTTATTTACTTTTTATTTATGCTATACATGTTTTATATGTACTTGTTGCCTCTCTTATTATAATAAGAGCCCTTTGTGAACAGGGACTGTTTCATTCTTTGACCTTATATCCCTAGTACCCGACATGGCACCTGGTACAAAGTAGGCATTTAATAAATTTCTATTGATTGATAGTTATTTTTTATATCTATATCTATATCTATCTATCTATCTATCTATCTATGTATATATACGTGTATGTATGTATGTATGTATGTGTGTATGTATGTATGTGTATGTGTATGTGTATACGTATGTATATAGAGCTCAGTATTTCTGGAACCTCCCACAACCAGGAAGATCCAAGCTAGATCAAAGGCCTTTCTCGGATGAGTCAGTCAACAAGCATTTATTAAGTACTTATGTGCCAGACACCATGCTGAGTACAGGGGATGCAAAGAAGGGTAAACAAACAAAAATACAATTCCTTCTCTCAAAGAATGCACAGTCTAATGGGGAAGATAACCTGAAAACAACTATTCAAGTAAGATATAGAAAGGAAAAATTTGAGATAATGAACAGAAGGAAGGCACTAGTATTAAGGAGAATTACTGGAAAAGATTTCTTACAGAAAGATGGATTTTATCTGGGACTTGAAGGAGGACAGGAGACAGACATGAGGAGAGAGGAATGACGGGCTTGTGAAAATGCACACAGTCAGGAAATGGTGCATCTTTTATGAGGAATGACAAGGAGGACGACAGTACTGGACTGAATAGCACATTGGGAAGACTAAGGACAAAACTGAACTCTTTCAGCACAAATTGTTGCTGTTCAGTCATCAACTCTTGGTGACCCCATTTGGGGTTTTCTTGGCAAAGACACTGGAGTAATTTGCCATTTCCTTCTCCAGCTCATTTTACAGATGAGGAAACTGACGCAAACAGGCTTAAGTGACTTGCCCAGGATCACACAGCCAGTAAGTGTCTGAGTCTGGATATGAACTCAGGAAGATGAGTCTTCCCAACTCCAGGTCCTGCACTCTATCCACTGTACCACCTAGCTGCTCTTTTAGAACAAGTCTTTTAGCTAACAGAGCAAGTTATCTTTTAGCATATAAGCAGTCTGTAATTGCTAATGCTACTGAGATGTCAGAATGTCTCTGACATCATTGCTTACAGTTTCAATGAAGGAGCTCTAAAAATAAATTTGTGTCTTAAACACATCAACATTTTATCTCTTGCCACGTCCTGAGAAACATTCTTCAATAATAGTAAAAAGTTTCTTCAGAAGAATGTGAGAGCTGCCCTCAGTAGCCAGGTAGAGGATTTGTAGACCTACAGTTGCAGGCGATAACGTACACTGTCAATTTTGTTGCTTTGTGGCTTGGTTTTGCTTAACTGTTTTCCTTGTTCTAAGGGAAAGTTCAATAGGTTGTGAGGGGTTCATCAGGAAGTGACTATGAAGTTAAAATGAAAAACCAAAAGCAATCAATGAAAGAAGAGGGGAGATCCAAAGTTACTGTCAACACCTTCTCTATCCCACACCAAACACATGACCACTACTAAATATATAAACAATTATGCCAAAATGTAGGGCAATGATGCCTCAAGGGTACTTTCTGGGACCTTCCCCTCACCCCCACCTCAGGTCCCTTGTTATGCACCCCATTTAACATGCAACTACCAAAAAAAGGATCAACACAAAAAGCCCCACAAATTCTTAGCCTTTCCATACTTCAATGTCTAATTCTTAGGCGAGAAGCATTATTCCACAAAACTGACCTGAATGCTATTTATAGAGGAGGACAGATTCCATACTTTGAGATCTCCAGTTACAGAAACCACCAGGAGAGAATCCTCTGTTTAAAAAAAAAAAAGGCATGAGCTGACCACTGAGCAATTCAGTCACAAAAAGGACATCTTAACTATAGGTTATGTATTTTGGAAAGCTATACCAGTTTATACATATACATATACATATACATATACATATACATATACATATACAATATATACATATACATATACATATACATATACATATACATATACATATACACATACATACACATACATATACATATACATATACATATATCCATACACATATACACATATACCCACACACATATATATGTATATACTTATATACCCTTACTTTTTATTTAAAAGGAAATAATAAACCTTTTGGATGTTTACATGAAAAATAAATTTCAGATCTATTGTCCTGTCATCAGCAGACTCTCTTCCCCTATATAAACACTGTTATTTTAGAAGATGAACCTTATATTTTTGCATGATATAATATATATCAAATTTAACTCTTAAACTGTCCTTTCCTCACTATATTGGGAGAAAGGAAACTATAGAATAAAACTGGTCATTTTTAACAAATACTTATTAGGCATTACTGAGACATCTCAAGCAAACTGGTTCACAAGAGCCAGTCTTTTCTGACTGTATCTACAATGCAATCTCTTTCCAATGTCTTGGGCTATTCATTTCACTGTCCCAATCTTTCCTTAGCCCTTTCACAATCACTCTGTTCTTCCCATTATAAAGGAGTCAATCTCACATAAGGAGCTACTGCCTTGACCAGGTAACACAAGCAAACATTCTCGATTAGGACATGATCTGAAATTATCAAATACCCTTCACCTAGTATTCATCAGTATGCATATTTTCCTATGCAACCAATTAAGACACTTCAGTGATAATCTGTCTACACTGCCCCGGGATACTTCATGCACTGTAGCAAACATATACCTTGAATCCTCATGGAATGAACAATGCATATGCAGTTGATCCAATCAGGAGATTGAGAGGATGTAAAAGCGTGAAGAACTGCCAAGGTCTTGGCATCAATAATGAGGATATCTTGATATTCTCCACAACACAAAAGCCAGCCATCTCCCGTCATTCGGAAGGCGCAGTGATAGTACTGTCCAAATGGAATCCAATTTTTTAGAAAAAGTTAATGCAATTGAGGCACAAAGAGAGTGTGTGTGTGTGTGTGTGTGTGTGTGTGCGTGTGTGTGTGCGTGTGTGTGTGTGTGCGTGTGACTGTATATATATTTGGGGTAGGAGACAGGCCCAATGGTGAATTCATCTTGGTGCCTCAGCTTCCTTACCTATAAAACGAGGAAGGTAGTGCCTTCCATTTCTAAAATTCTACAGCTTGATAGTTCTAAGTTGTGAAGTTTCACCTCAACCACAAACATATTTTTCATGATATAAAAACTTATATTTTATGAAAAAATATTCTTAATTATGGGAAGTAAACCATTTTGATTAATTCAAGTCTATTCCTTGTAACATTTTTTAACGAAGACAACTTCCAACCCTCTTCTTCTCTGTACTAAGCATTTGCTTTTAAATCAGAGTAATTTTTGCAGTAATTGCATTTTTGAGTTATTTCTATTAATGACAATTCTATTTCTATTAATTTATATTCACAGTAATTAATTGTATGAGTACATTCCAGCCTTGGTAAGATATCTTCTACCTATGCACATTTATGATCAGAGAAGGCCAGATTAAAGAACGTAGATGGGAGATATGGTAGAAATCTTCATGAAAGATACTGGAAATAATGTCAGCACCATACAAGTGATAAAACAAGGGCTTTACATCTTGTAAAGGCCAAAAGAAAGGCAAATATAATCTTAAAAAAGACAAATCACAACATTTTCTATATGAAAAAATATGGATATAGGTTTATCAAGAATATGTGCATTTAGTAATGATTAATCACTAAGCCAGGGAACTGTTAAAAATCTGTGCAACCTACCTCTTGACTGAGAGAGGATAGATATGAGATGCAGAATAAAAAGTATATTTGGGGTGAGGAAAAAAAAAGAATTCATATATTTGTGAGATGTATTATTTTTAAGAAACTAAAGTGAAAACAAAATTAATTGCTTGAACAACATTTTTTTTAAAGGGGAAATTGAAATACTGAATTATTGCAAATACAACATTTACATATTAAAAGCTTCCCCTTTTTTATCCTTAGGGAAAATTATATTTGTGAAAGGGTGAAGGGAAATCCCTTAAGTACAATCCCTTAAAATGTCTGCACCCCAGTGATTCCAAGTTCTAAAAGCCTGAAATATCCATAAGAAGCAGATGTAAGATGTACTTACACAGATGGCTGTGTGTCTATAAGGGAGGGTTGCAGACTCAATGCACTGGCCACTGGTGACATTCCAAACACACATCTCCCTGCCAGAGATAACTTTGTATTATTCTCTATCATTTCCACTCAATTGGCTGGAATAATTTCGTGCCACCAAGTTTTTCTTTAGTGCTTCACTTAAGTGCAGCCTGATCATTTATGTGGCTTTTTGTTACAGATTACTGGGCAAGAAAATGTTGTGGTCATTAGCAGGGGATGACACACGGTATCTGTTTCTTTTTGTTTTGGTAATTACACCCTGCTGCCAGGCAGCAACCTTACTTTAAGGCCAAACCTGGTCCACGACAAATTGTGTGGGGATGGCCATTATGGCTCCTTCAGAGTGACACCAGAATGATCATTCCTTGCAACAGCATCCTCCTGAAAATGGCTCATTTCACCGAGCTTAACCTACACCTTCTCAAAAGCATAAATGCATCTTGTGCTGCTCTACTGGGTTTTCTGTGTTGAGCTAAGAGATAGCTCTGTTAAGAATAAACAGTGCCACCTAGGGGCCAGTTCTGGCCTAAACTCATCATCTCTACAAACTCAAGCAAAAATGTCAACCCATTCTAAAATAATCCATGCAGATTAATATTTAAGCAAGATTATTTTCATCAAAATTACAGAGTTATATCTATAGCAGATGTTAATGAAATTACCTGTATGTATGTATATACTTAAACACAGTTTTTCACATAGTTTATACAGTTGTACATACAACCAATGTTAATGAAATTACCTCTGCAACATATATTTAAATAAAATTTATCTAGTTTATATAGTTATACAACTGATCTTAGTGAAATTATATCCATACATTAATACTGTCCACAAGTTCATAAGAGCACACAATTCTATAGTTAGAAAAGACCATCTAGCTCATCAAAATTCTATGGAGAGATTGCAGGAGCTCCATGATCTTGGGTAGGAAAAAAAAATTATTTCTTTATTTCAATATGGTTGATTCCCTCTGAAATCCCATGTGTTTAATTTTGTGCTTTCTGAGGCTGTACCAGACTTCCACAGGCTTTATCAAAATTCCAAAAGGGTTGGAAGAAACACAAAAGAAGAAACCTTAATCCAACCCCAACCCAACTCCCTCATTTTACAGATGAGGAAACTGAGGCCCAAAGAGAATGAGTAACTTGCCTATAATCATATAGATAATAAATATCAGAAGTGGGATCTGAATGTAGGCCTTCTGATTCTAAATCTAGTATTCTTTCCAATATAGTATGCTACATCTCAAATTTGTTTTCTTCTTTTTCATAGTTACTGTTAAAAGTTCATAGATCCAGAGCTAGAAGGGACCTCAGAGGCCATCTAATAAATTTTCTCATTTTACAGATGAAGAAATTGAGGCTTAGGGAGGCTAACTGATTTGTCCCTAAGTCCCTCAGAGGCAGAATCTGAACCCAGGTCCTCTGATTTCACAGTCAATGCTTTCTGGTCAAAGGTTAAACTCTTTAATCTGTATAATGATGGGGGGACAGAGCCAAGATGACAGAGTAAAAGCAGTGACTTGCTTGAGCTCTCCCCCAAACCACTGCAAATACCTGTAAAAAACGTCTCTAAACAAATTCTAAAGCAGCAAAACCCACAAAAAGACAGAGTGAAACAAATTTCCAGCTCAAGAAAACCTGGATGGTTAATTGGAAAGGTATATCAAACCGGGTGGGGAGAAGAACTCAGTTCAGCACGGGCACGCAGGCAAAACAGGTCTCAGTGAAACTGGAGCAGGCCTCAGGGGACTGAATCATGGGCAGCAGCAGTGGTTTCCAGACTTCTCAACTCACAAACTCCAAAGACAACTTAGAAGGTCAGTAGGAAAAGTCTATGACCAAGATAAGAGAGAAGCTCAGTCCAGCCCCAGTCCCTGAGCACGGCCCCATGGCGGTGGCTGCTTCTGGAGCATCTGGCCCACAGACTGAGGAGGAATCGAGTGGCTAATCATAGGGAGATTGCAGGGATCTCTTTGCTGGTGCTGAGGCAGGATTCTCTTGCTTTGCCTGTACTTGGATCTGGGTCACAGTTCTACATGGCAATCCTGGGGAGAGGAGGAATTCTGGTGTGGTGGCGCTTGTAGTGGTGGTGCAGAGAAAATCCTCCTTACAGTTCCAAGGCAGAAAAGAGTGTTTGTGGTCACTCATAGACCAGAGCAAAGGCCAGGAAGGGAGTAAACACCTCACCCTTGATCATACCACCTTGGAAGAACTGAAAATTTACAGGTCCCTACAAGTATCTCTGAAAACAGTTGCACAAAACCCCCAACAGTACATTCTCCACAATGGAAGCAGACCTCTATTTTAGCAAAGAGTTTATAACTCAAGTAATTGGCTGGGATCATGAGCAAACAGCACAAAAAACAGTCAGACCATAGAATCTTGCTTTGGTGATAAGGAAGATCAAAACATACAACTAGAAGAAGACAACAAAGTCAAAGCTCCTACATCTAAAGCCTCCAAGAAAAATATGAATTGGTCCCAGGCCATGGAAGAGCTCAAAAAGGATTTTGAGAATCAAGTAAAAGAAGTAGAGGAAAAACTGGGAAGAAAAATGAGAGTGATGCAAGGAAATCATGAAAAGCAAGTCAACAGCTTGCTAAAGACACTGAAGAAAATAATGCCTTAAAAAATAGCCTAACCCAAATGGCAAAAGAGGTCCAAAAAGCCAATAAGGAGAAAAATGCCTTAAAAAGCAAAATTAGCCAAATGGAAAAGGAAGTCCAAAAGATTACTGAAGAAAATACTTCCTTAAAAATTAGAATGGAATAATTGGAAACTAGTGACTTTATGAGAAATCAAGACACTGTAAAACAAAAAAAGAATGAAAAAATAGAAAAATGTGAAATATCATTGGAAAAACAACTGACCTGGAAAATAGATCCAGGAGAGAGAATTTAAAATTATTGGACTATCTGAAAGCCATGATCAAAAAAAGAGCCTAGACATCATCTTTCAAGAAATTATCAAGGAAAACTGCCCTGATATTTTAGAACCAGAGGGCAAAATAGAAATTGAAAGAATCCACCGATCACCTCCTGAAAGAGATCCCCAAAGGAAAACTCCTAGGAATATTGTAGCCAAATTCCAGAGTTCCCAGGTCAAGGAGAAAATATTGCAAGCAGCCAGAAAGAAACAATTCAAGTATTGTGGAAACACAATCAGGATAACACAAGATTTAGCAGCTTCTACATTAAAGGACAGAGGGCATGGAATATAATATTCCAGAGGGCAAAGGAGATAGGATTACAACCAAGAATCACCTACCCAGCAAAACTGAGTATAATCCTTCAGGGGAAAAAATGGTCATTCAGTGAAATAGAGGACTTTCAAGCATTCTTGATGAAAAGACCAGAGCTGAATAGAAAATTTGACTTTCAAATACAAGACTCAAGTGAACATGAAGAGGTAAACAGGAAAGAGAAATCATAAGAGACTTATTAAGGTTGAACTGTTTACATTCCTGCATGGAAAGATGATATTTGTAACTCATGAGACCTTTGTCAGTATTAGGGTAGTTGGAGGGAAAAAATTATATGTATGTGTGTGATATATATATAGATAGATAGATAGAAGTAGAGGGCACAGGGTGAGTTGAAGATGAAGGGGTGATATCTGGAGAATAAAATTAAGGGATGAGAGAGGATTATACTGGAGAAGAAGAAAGGGAGAGGTAGAATGGGGTAAATTATCTCACAAAAAGACAAGAAAAGGCTTTTACAGTGGAGGGGAAATGGGGAAGGTGAGAGGGAATGAGTGAATCTTATTCTCATAGGATTTGGCTTAAGGAGGAATAACATACACACTCAATTGGGTATGGAAATCTATCTTACCCTACAGGAAAATAGGGGGGGGGGACAAGAAGCAGGGGATGATAGAGGGAGGGCAGATTGGGGGAGGGTAATCAGAAGCAAACACTTCTGAGGAGGGACAGGGTCAAAAGAGAGAATAGAATAAATGGGGGCAGGATAGGATTAAGGGAAATATACTTAGTTTTTCACATTATGTCTACTATGGAAGTGTTTTGCATGACTACACATGTGCAACCTATATCGAGTTGCTTGCCTTCTCAATGAGGGTGGGGTAGGGAGGGAGGAAGGGAGAAAATTTGGAACCCAAAGTTTTAAAAACAAATGTTAAAAAAAAATTGTTTTCATATGCAACTGGGAAATAAGATATACAGGAAATGGGGTAGAAATCTATCCTGCCCTACAAGAAAACTGAAGGGGAAAGGAATAAGAGAAGGGGGTGGCAGAGATAGAAGGGAGGGCAGATTAGGGGAAGTGGTATTCAGAATGGATGCCATCTTGGGGTGGGATGATGGACAAGATGGGGAGAAAATTTGGAACTCAAAATCTTGTGGCAGTGAATGTTGAAAACTAAAGATAAATAAATTAAGAAAAACAAAACAAAAAAATCTGTATAAAGGTAAAATTCCTAAGCAAGAAAAATATGAAACCTTTACAAGGTTTGGAAGATAATATTAGAATCCAAGAGCAATACTAAATATATAAGAAATACTAAATAATAGTAATGGTTTACATTGTTTCCTCTTCTTCCTAGGATTAAAAATTCTAAATGTAAATTTAGGTAATATAGAAGCATTGCTATGGAGCTAGAAGAGCTCTTGGAGGCCTTCTAGTACAATCTCTTTATTTTAGATTCAAAGAAGTTAAGTGACTTGCTCACAGACATACAGGTACCAAGCTTCAGAATTAGAATTTGAACCCAGGTCCTATGACTCCAGAGATAGTGCTTTTTCCACTCATATCATGCTTCCCATAACCAGCTATTGAGCTGAACTGAGCCAAAGTGAAAGATGTTTGGACCTATAAATGGTTACAATAAATTCCAATGCATGAAAAGTTGCTAAAACAAAACAAAACAAAACAACCTCGATGGTTTTGTAGTCCATTAGTCTGCTTTTCATCAAAAATGTCCAATTGTCTATCATTTCTCCCCTATCAAAATAAAAGAAACAAAATATTATCACCGTATCTGTTGAGCTTTACTGAGGGCCTACTCCAATTTGATGTTGAACC